AATCCACTAAGACAGATAACTGTAAAGGACTTTAAATTCCAGACACTGAATTTTGTATTTTATTTTGGAAGGAATAAGGAGCCATGGAAGTTTCTTGAGCATCTGTGACATGATCAGACCTGTGCTTTAGGAATAAATATCAACTTGACAGGTGGTTGAAAGATGGCTTAGAACAAAGAGAGAATGGAAAAAGAGAGGCTATTGAAATAGTCTAGGCAAAAGGTGTGGGCATGAATTATCAGAGTGATAGCTTTGTTAGTGGAAAGAAGAGGAAAGAGGCAAGAAATGTTTTGGAGACAGAATGGGCAACACTTCCAGTGGTTTGAATATTGGTGGGGGTTAAGTGAGAGTGCATAGTTGAGGATGATTCACAAATTGTGAATGTGTGTGGCTGAAAGAATGAAGATGCCCTCATCAGAAATAGGAAAGTTAGGAGGAGGGGAGGAGAGACATTATCAGTTCTGTTTGGGACATGTTGAGTTGAGCGTAAGATGGCCATGGGGCATTTACGTAGAGATGTCTAATAGGCAGCTAGAGTTGTTGGCCTGGATCTCAAGGGCTCCATATAGCCATTTGGGAGTTAACTGGTGAAGAGCTGATGAGAGCACCAAGAGGGCACATCCATGACAGCTCATGAGATCACCAAGAGAGTATTGAGAGTGATGAGAGAGGGGCCAAGACAGAGCCTAAGCATACACCCACAAATAGAGGGCAGAACACGCTTGATCATCCGGAAAAGGACCTGAGCAGGACTGCTCAGACAACAAAATAAGAGAACTGCTATAGAGAAGTGTCGTAAACATTTAGAAAGGAGACAGTATGAAGAAGGGGTGTCAAAAAGCATCAAAAGCTACAGAGAGATTCAGAAGAATGACAATTGAGCAAAAGTCATTGAATTGAGCAAAAAAAAAAGATCATTGGTGACCATAGAGAAAGTGACTTCTGTCATGTGGTTGTGAGAGCAGGCAGAATGTAAAGGTTTGAGGAGCATGTGAGAGATGCAGAAGTGGAGGCAAAGATCACAGACAGTTTTTCTCAAGAATTTACCTGTGATAGGGAGGAGAGATAGAGGATGATAGTTGGAATGGAGAGTAAGTTCCAATTCGGGTTTTGGTTTTTTTTAAAGATCTAGGAGATCTGGGCATGGAGGCAGCAAGAGAAGAAGCTAGTGGATCAGGAGAGATCAGTTTGGAAGACTGATATTTAGGTGAATTAAGTTGAAACTAGACTAAAAACAAATTAGTTTCAAGAGTTAATATGCCACATTTTAGTAACAATATATCACATTGGCGTTACTCTAATAATCAGTGTTCAAACTGGAACAAGTTAGCTTAGGAAAAAGGTATTGATGTTGTGGGGTTAAAAAAAACATTAGACTATCATAAACTATCACCCTAATGTCCTTTAAGCTTACTTAAGTTAAAGGTGCATAGGACTTTTGTAGACAACGTTCCTGAGAGAATGAAAGGAAATGAACAGGGCCCTAGGGCCCATTCCATATGCTATTAAGGGATTATTATTACTGTTTTTTTTGTAAGACAAGCTTAGGACAGGTAGGGGGCACAGTGGATAGAGCACTGAGCCTGGAGTCAGGATAATTCATCTTCCTGAGTTCAAATCTGACCTCAGACACTTGCTACCTGTGTGACCTTGGACAAGTCACCGCAACCTGTTTGCTTCAGCTTCCTCAACTGTAAAATGAGCTGAGGAAATAAATGCAAACCATTTCAGTATTTTTGCCAAGAAAACCTCAAATGGGGTCACACAGAGTGGATATGACTGAAATGACTAAACAACAAAAAAAGCCAAGCTTTATTTTTAATCTGTTTTTGCTAATAACAAAGTTTACACTGCTGTTGTTTTTTTTTTAATTTGATTGAAAACTCAAACTAACAATGCCTCAATTTTTTTAAAAATGACTGTTACCAGTACCATGTTTATATCACATAGAAATTCTGGTCCCAAGCGATAACCCCAAAGACCTAAAAATCCTTCATTTCTAAAAGCCATTCTTGCTGATCTCTGCAGGATCAAGTACAGATTTGTAACACATAAATGCAAAATCAAAAGTCTCTACTGATCGTATTTATTTCTGACAGATCTAGGCAAAGTTTATTATGTGGTTGTCCCCCAAAATCACTTATATAGGACTTGTGAAAAGTGCAAAATAATCTAATTCACGGCAATAAAAACATACCAGGAAATTTCCAAAGAAGAGCCACCAGTGAGGGTTTATTTTTTTTAATTAAAAAAAAATTTAAAGGCATTTATTTTATTTGGTCAGTTAAGGAATGTGTACTGTATCTGATCCCAAGAGCAACATGGAGCCATTGAAGACTCTTGAGCATGGAAGTGCCGTGGTCAGCTACATGATGAAAGTTATATTCAAGAAAGATGAATCTGGAGACAGCATGTCCACAAGAGAACCCACAGTAGATGACCCACCAGACACCGCATGCTGTAATTGCAACTCTTGCACATTTGGCTACCACAATCAGGAATCCAAGAGCTAAAAGTGTTTCCCTTCAATGGAATGCAGTGTTGATACAAGAAGCATATGCCACAACTATTTTTCTTCTGCCAAGTTGAGGTCAGTGTTACAAGGGACAGATGCCATGGTATTTGACTTGGAAAATAGGATTAAAATTGAATTTGCATGTTGGCCTTGAAAATTTCTTCTAAGTAAATATGGACTCATTGTTATCTGGGACTTACTGTTTGAGGAGCAGCCTGTTTGGATGTGGAAGAAAGTGCTGCTCCCATATCTAAAATTCTATGGGATTGCTGTTGGAGGCCCTTATATTTTGAAGCCTCACAGACAAGAGTTGACTTGTTTCTCTAAAGGGTCGAATTATTTTAGGGTTTGTTCTCTAAAGGTTTGCATTATTTTTGCATTATTTGTTCATAGTAAGAGTCATAAAACTTTTGTGGCTGTCTTTTGTAAATTATTTGTACCCTTTAAAAAAATCTATTTAGATAACACTTAAAATTGGAAGGGAACTTAACTTAGATGGTATCTAATCCTACTCCTTCTATTTTATGGATGAGGAAACTGAGGTCCTGAGTGGTTAAGTGATACAGGTAGTGAGTAGCATAACCTCTATCTGAACCCAAGTCTTATGACTCAAAGTCCAGTGTTTGCATTCTTACCAATGCTTTAACCAATTTAAGATACTTTTACCTATTTTTCTTATAGTTTTCTCTTCTGCTTCTTCCACACACGCCCCCCTCCTGTTGTTCAGGATTATAACTGCTTGTTTATGGACTACACAGCATGCTTAGAAAGATGTAGAGATTTGCCTAAAAGGATGCTACAGAATTGATGAAGGTGAGAGTCCTCAGGGTAGTCCAGAACTATGATGACAGCATCCAATTGGTCAGTCTGTACAAACAGGGACATTCTGAAGTCAAGGGTCAAGTGAGAGAGCAGGAGATTTAGCTCTTTTAACTACTCCTTCCAGGCATCAAGGGAAGGGACTCCCCTGCCCCCAGTTTTGCCCTCTTTCTTCCCACAACCTCCATACCTCCTGCCTCATTCTCCATTGCCCTCATTAACACACCTCTAGTTGATCAGTAAAAAAGACAGGTATTATTTTCTAGATGCTGACCTGAGAGATAGTAGACCTAAATTTTGTTCCCATATCTGACCTTGCTCAAATCATTCTATCTCTTTGGGCCCCCAGTTTCTTCATTCATCAATGTGAGAGTTAGATGCATGGGATCTTTCAAGTGCCTTTCAGCTCTAATCTTATTATATATCCATGAAATAATTTCATTTCACTAGCATTCATGTTATTCTCATTTTAAATTTCTTCTGAGAAACTTTACAGGAATGTTTTTTTTTTCCTGTTTCCATATTAGTTCCCTGTCTCCCCCCCTCCGCCCAGAAAAACAAAACAAAAACCTGCAACTTCCCTGGGAAATAGCAGGCCTGGCATAATTTGATTATCTTGTGGCACACACCTTTTTCAAGTCCCCGAACCTTTATTATGACTTTGGTTTACATCACTTGTTGGAAAACACTCCGAAGCATAGAAAAACTATTAAATTGTTACAGTATTGGATGCCAACACACAGGGCTATTACTCTAATTCATCCCCCAGATCAAAGCCCACACAAGCAGTTCTCCAGCCGGGAGCTATTTTCCCTTAGCTTTCCTGCTTGACAGTAGGCTCCCGGATTCTCTGTTCTGTCTTCTTTGAACATATAGCTTTTCCTTTAGTCACGGAAACACAATTTATGTCTATTATGCTGTATTACAGATTATATCTCGGGAGATGGGCATTATTGGATGGAATGTCTGCCGACGGTAAATGGTGTGTGTGTGAGTGCTTCCTTAGCCAAGTAGGGGGAAGGGAGAGGATGGGGGGGGGTAGAGAAGGGATAGGATGTGCGTTTGGGGGGGAGTGGATCCTAAAACTTGAATTTGCAAAAGTCAAGCTTAAAGCACGATATATTAACGTCCGTGTTATTTCCTTTTGTCATACTGTGTATGGAGATGATCTGAAAAAGAAAAAAAAAGGAAGAAAACCTGGCCCCTCTCCACCTCTACATCAGACCACCCAGGACTCCTGAGTATGGCTACTGACTGTACAAGCCAGGGGGTTCAAAGGTTCATGAGAGAAGTAACCAATTTAATCGGTTATTAGCTACCTCCCCCGTAACCAGATTGGATGCACACACAGACACATACATTCACACAAAGTGTGTGTTTGTGCAAAGTGTGTGTGTGTGTGTGTGTGTTGGGGGGGTGGATAGGGAGGAAGAGAAAAAAAAGAAATATCCCTACAGACTCTGGGATTCAAGAATTACAAAAACAACCTCCACCCCTGGTCTGGCAGAGTATGTGAGTGGGAGAGGGAGAGGGTGAGGGCGGAGGAGAAGGAGGAGGAGGAGGAGGAGGAGGAGGGAGTGGGAGGAGAGGGACGAAGCGCTAAGGGAGAACCCCACACTAGCTCTTGCACCCTGCCTGAGCTGAGCTGAGCCCGGCTGCTAGAAAGATGTTTGATAACACGCAGTATCCTTACAACTGTTTCAACTACGACGGTGATGATTACCCCGCCTGCAGCTCCGACGAGGAGAAGAAACTCAGCCGCCCAGCTTACAGGTAGCCGAGAAGTTTCGTCGAAGTCTTCCGCTCTGCGGCAAGGTGGTAGTAGTGATGGAGGGCGGGGGAGGCAGAGAGGACACGGACTCCCCCCAAGTACGGCCCTGGCCTGGCTGGAGGGAGATGCTAGTGGGATCCTGGGGCGGGCGGGGAGAGCTTGGCTGGCCAGGAGCTGGAGAAAAGAACCGGTGCTCCCCGGGCATTGGCAGTAGGCGGTAGGGGGTCGCCAAGGGATGGGGGCAGGAGAACAGGCTGGAAGCGCCAGGTTCCCTGAAGGCAAACGTTTGCACTTGGTGGAGACTAGGGAACTCTGAATAGCGGCTGGGTCACTCACTCAGTGGAAGATGCATCCCGCAGCTTCCCTTGAAACACCTTCCTTCTCCAAGTGAGGGGTCTCAGCGGGAAGAGTGGAGGAGACTTTTTCGCAGGACTGGTCCTCCAACCAAACCCGTAGTAACGCAGCGCGTCTGGAGAGCAGAGAGGCGCGCCTCCGGCTATTTGGTGCTTTATCCCAGGCAATGGCTTAACCCTGAGTTTCTTTTCCAGCTACATTGCCTTGATTGCAATGGCCATCCAGCAAAGCCCTGCCAATAAAGTGACGCTGTCTGGCATTTATGACTTTATAATGAAGAAATTCCCTTACTACAGATCAAACCAAAGAGCCTGGCAAAACTCCATTAGGCATAACCTATCCCTTAACAGTTGTTTTGTAAAGGTAAGAAGATTAATCACAGTCTCTTCTCATAGGCCCGTTATTCGGCAACAGCAGCAGCCCTGAGATGACTTTCTATCTAGGAAACATCTGTCTTAAATATTCTTCCTGAAACCCAAGAGGAGGGGGGTTACTCTTGAGAAATCCTATGATTGTGCTCTAGATAATTAAGAGCTCTCTCCCTCCCAGCTGTTGAAAAGTTAAGGGTCTTCTTGTCTTATTTCCATTAATGTATACCAAGTTAACCAGAGTTGGTTTTTGTTGTTGTTGCTGTTGTCGTTGCTTTACCTAGGAATTGCACAATTTAGGGGGCGGGGAGGGGGAGGCATGATTTCAATGACTTGTATGTTTATACCAATCGTGACTTTAAATGAACACAGATGCAAAGTGCCAGCATCTGCGAACCATACCCACACTGAACTGCCTTTCTCACAAATCCAGGTTCCCAGGATGGAAGGGAATGAGAAGGGGAAGGGAAACTATTGGACTTTTGCTTCAGGATGTGAGTCCATGCTGGATCTTTTTGAAAACGGGAACTATCGGAGGAGGCGTAGAAGGAGAAATATGAAAAAGGAACCTAAAGACCAGAAGCCAGGTGGGACTGTGGGGCCCTCCACCTTTGACCTGCCCACTATGGATTCATGTTCAGAGGGCACCCACCTGAATGAAAGCACAACTAAGAAACACGAATTCAGAGCCCCTCACCTAGATCCTTCTCCATTCTTTCCAAATGGCCTCTCCAATCAACAGAACCTAAGCAATGCCTCTCTTGGAAAATCTGACTCAGAAATTAAATTTAGCATTGATTACATCCTTTCATCACCTGATCCTTTGCCTGCCCTAAGATCACCCTTCAGTACCCAACATAATAAATATCATCTACTGGAGCCTCAACAAATTAACCTCCAGTTTTGGACAATGTGAGGTACTGAGGCAATGGAGTATATTTTGAGACTTCTTTATAACCCCCAGCTGTCAGTATGATTGTTGTGCCTCTTTCTTCTGATATCTGCTGGAAGGGCACAATCAAGCCAACTTTTCATACAAAAGCTGAGCTGTTCCATCAAAACCAGGAGCTTGATTTCATTGATTTGTGCTTAATGATTAATCCATTTGTTGGGGGCAAGGAGAGACTTTTGATCTCATGAATGATGCAAATGTGAAACTGACTTTCTTCCTTAAAAGATGCTCACCTGTGAAGGAACCTATATCATGGATCAATTCAACTCAGTTCAATTCAACAAAAATGTGCCAGGCACTGTTAGGTACCAGAGTTACAAAGGCATGACTGTGCTAGACAGGTTGACCTACTGACACTGTTTTCCTTTTAAAAAAAAACAATTAGGACAATATTTGATTCCTTTATTCTAATTCTTAGCACTGTTGCTCATAACTCCATTCCCTAACAAAATTTCTTGATAGCTGTTTAGGTAACTGGATGAGAGAGTTATGTAAACTCTAAACAGTAATGTGTAATTTCATTTTACCCTATCAAAGTTACATCCTAGTATTATTTACTTTGGTCAGTGTTGGTGGATGATGTGATAAGACCTAATAGATATGCACTAACCCATCTGCACAGAGAATATCTTCTTGTGTTATTGTGATGGCTTCTCTCCAACTTGTTCTATACAAGGTAAAAGGAGATAAAAGTGGGCTTGGAATTTTAGGCATTGACAAAACACTGGAATGGAGTTATTTCTACCCCCTAGCTTGAAGTGGTAAATTCATATGAAGTCATTGATCCCACTTGTTATCAGTCACCAAAGTGGTACTGAATAAATGTCCTTCCCATTTTGGTGAAGTGGATAATCAGAGACTGGCATAATTATAGATATCAATATTAGGATGGTATGCACCATTTGAAATGTAAATTATTTCATTGCTGTGGGAGATGAGCACTTAGAAAAATACAATCAAACACATGAAACTATTTGATCACTCAGCATTTTTTTTTATCAAACACATCTTTACAGAATTGTTTGCTATCCATAACTTAATTTGAAGGTTATCATGGATTACACTAGACATGATTTGCAAGGTGGCAACTCTAGGCTAGTTTCTCAAATAGCAACACGTACAGAGAGCCTAAACTTCTGGAGACACAATTTCAAAAGCAAATTCAGGCTTTAGGAAAAGGAACTCAAAGTTAATGAAGGTAGGCAACTTGACATGGATAAACCAAAACCAACTAAAAGACAGTCTTAGAGATAGCTTGAATTTTGAGATGTGAGGTCTGACATTTCATTAAGTTATTCATGCTGTATATAGACCCTTGACATACTCTTACATATTTTCAGATGAGCAAAGATCACCAGTGGCATTTTTAAAGTATTGTGAAAATGCATGATCTTGTCTTTTTTGTGTTCAAAATTGTTACTGATGCTTCTACTGTACTACCTTTCCAACCCCCTCAAAAAAATCCCAACATCTTGCTGACTTCTTTCTTAGAAAATGACATGAATTTTCAGAAAGCCCTTCACCTTAGCAAGAATTAGTGCTTCTCCACAATCTACTGGAGATTTCTTTCTTAGAAAAACAGCAGGAACTATGGACACATATTTAGAAGGGAACCAAAAATAGCAAGAATACCACCCAGAAAAACCCCCACCACCTGTCTTCCAAGTTCCCGAGAATATTTCTCAATGACCACGTGACATTTTCATGTTGTCAGAATGATGATGGGTGTATGTGTATGTGTGTCTTGTGAGGTTTTTTTTAATGTCTGCACTCCGATGTATGTATAGCTGTATTTATATCTGCATTGCTGTCTTGCCAAAAACATTATTTTTAATTATGCTATATATAAGCAGGATGGTGACAATGCAATGTAGTCTGTACTGGAAACAAGTATATATGGAGTGTTTGGAAATATATTTTTCTGTTGCCAATGGAGCAAATATAATTTACTTTCTATCCTTTGTGCTCATAGTTAATTGGTTTCTTTCTCTCATGAGTGAAAATGGGTTTAGGGTAGAACTCTTGGGATATGTAAACCCGGCTATGTAAACATTTGGATACGGTAGGTTCCAGCTACTTTGAAAGGAGAGAAGTCAGGAAAATAATGAATTTCCAATAGGAATATGAACTCACTAAAGCTAATAAATTTGTAAGCCAGTCAGTCATTCAAGCTGCCTAGTAAGGAAGGTGTGTTTGAGATTGTCAGAACACACAGTTGTAGGAATTCGTGTACAGATAGGTGCTAACATTTGTTTTGCAAAGGATATCAATCATGTTTCTAAAAGTGAAGGGACATTTTTCAATTTGCCCAGTGTGTTATATTCTCACCACTTTAGAAAGGTTTCTAGCACTTAAAGTGAATGGCATTTAATATAGAACAACATAACAGGGGTGAGGGCTGGATGTGACCTATTCAAATGTCGCTACCATTACATAGCTATTCCCAATGCAATTATAATTAAACACTTTATGCCTTTCTTGCAAATCTGCTGATCGATCATTGGTATTAACATTAATACTGTATTACCCCCGAGCAGATGTCTACCACACAAGTGTTATGGATCACCAGGTTTCCATTAACAAAGTTGTGAGGTATTGCCATATGCTAGCCAGGGATAAATTTACGTAAATTACCTTATGACAAAGCATACAGGACTGTGCTATACCAAGGAATAATGTTGTTTCTTTTCTTAGGCCACAGTGATTCTATAAGTTACGTATCCTTATAGCCATATGGGTAAAGTGAATTAAGAAAAGAGATCATATTTGCAGGTGAACTTAGCTATCTGTTCTTTGCAAAAGCACCTAAGTGTATGATTAATTGTCATTGTCCATATTAATGGAAGGGAGAAAAGGTAGCATAACATAAGCTAATTAGAAATCTTCCAATCATTTCAACATAGCTTTGGAAAATAGGACACGTGATCAGACATATCAACTTAGAAAGACATGAACTCTACGGCTGCCCCTAGTTTTATGCCTACATTACATTCTTAACTCTGGTCAGTTGCTTTGCAGATAGGTCTCATTGGAACCCAACAATAAAGTATGGAAGATTCAACGCTACTTGTCCCTGCTATTAGAGACATAGCATTCAAAGTCAAGTCCCCTCTGAACAAGTCAGTCAATATCATCTCTGTACATGAGGGACGACTCATCATTTTTCATTACTGGCATTGTCTGAGCACTTGATATGTGCAGGGCCCTGTACTGTCTGCTATGGATTTAGGAGTAAGGGCACAAAAAAAGATTATCCCCAAACACCTGTTCTCTTCCATTAGCTTGTGCTAGGTGCTGTGGGGGATACACAGGACAAGATTCCTAAGGTTCTTTCCCTCTAGGATCTTATAGTCTAGCTAAGGAAACAAACTGCATACACATGGATAAGATTCTCTGCATCCCATAATGATCCTTCCTCATGTTAAATATTAGCTGTATGCACCCACCCTTTCTCCCTCAGTGATGACTCTGAGCCCCAAGGAGGTTCAGAGTCACTTGCAAAGGTGAGGAAAGTTAGGTGAGAGTTTGGAGCCAGCATACTACTAAATGACATGAATATCATTTTTTTTTATTTTCTGACTTGAATGGTTGGAAATGAACCAGGTGCCTGAAGTAGGCAAGGAGAGAAGGAATATTTTACCTTCTCAAACACATCCTCCAGATAGTCCATTAACTGGAGATTCATATGGGTTTAGAATAACAGACTGGGTGACCAGTTTTCTAGGATACTGTAGACCATTTGATGGGGGTTGGATTAGGTGACTTTTGAGACCCTATTAGCTCTGAGAGTCTTTGTCAGCAAACTCTTATGGGGGGAACAAAAGTGTCCCCAGAGGAAATTAGATCTAATATTGTTCATTCTCACTTTTTTTGGTGGGTGTTTTAAATAGATTAGTAACAGTGTTATCTGGAAAGTACTCAGTGAATAGGGAAAGGAGAAGGCTTATGCAATCTTTCTAGGACTGGAAATCCTCAATACCTGGGGAAAATAGTTAAAAACAAGATCTGGACCACTATAGATTAGGAAACCCTGCTTCTCACTTGATCTATGAACATATGGGTCCCTAATTCAGGCTTAGAACCAACAGTTTCAATGAATGCCTAAGAAATTGTTAAGCCCTATAATCTGCTCGTATCGTGACTTCTTACCATTTGTTTTCCTTTCATCTTCCAAACACCATCTTGTTTGGCTCTAGAACTCTCTTCTTCTTTTTCCTTCTCCCTCTCTGCCAACACATGTGGCACATGAGTACTTTTAAAGAGTTAATTCATAAGGGGGAAAGGGGTCTCAGATTCCAGCTAAGAGTTGGAAGGGACCTGAGAAACCACTTAATCCAATCTCATACATAACCAAGAATGTCCTCTATAAAATTCCCAATAAATACTCATCCAATATCTGAAAACCTTTAACGAAGGGGAATCAATGGTATTTTTGGATAGCTCTGTTAGGAAGACTTTTCCTCACATCAAGACTAATTCCAACCTCCAACCACTGCTCCTTGTTCTGCCCTCCAGAGACTAGCAGATCAAATCTAATCCTTCTTCTGCATACCAGCCTTTCAACTAGTGGAAGGTAATTGTCATATCTCCTCTTCTAAGTCTTTTCTTCTCTGGCTGAACATCTCTAGTTCCTCCAATCAATCCTCATGAAACTTTCTGTCATCCTTTGACCATTCTAGTCATCCCTTTATGGACACATTTCAGCTTGTCTATATCATTCCTAAAATGTGAGATCCGGAACAGAATAATATCTAGATACAGTCCAAGCAGGGCAGAGTGTTTCACAGTACTTCCCTTGATCTAGACCAAAGGTTCTTAACTTGGGATCCATGGATGTCAGGGGGACCATGAACTTGGATGGGGATACTTACACGCACACACACACATTATATATACACATTTACATATATGCATATGTATCTTTATTGTCACTAGCCTTTGGTTTCCTTTGTAAGCCTATATACTTTATTTTATGAAATTAATATTATTCTGTGATACGGATCCATAGGCTGCCAAAAGGGTACACAAACCAAAAAAAAAAGGTTAAAAATCTCTGATTTAGACATTATGTCATTAGTAATAAAACCTTGGATGTCATTAGCTCTTCTGGCTGCCATGTCACACTGTTACCTCATACCAATACTAAGGTTTCAGTATACTGAAACTTACTAATCTCTTTTTCTCTCATAGGAACTCTTTTCTAGTCATACCTCCCCTATCCTCTATTGATGAAATTGATTTTTGGACCTCAAGGGTAAAACTTTGCATTCATCCTTTTTCAATTTAGCCTTACTTGATTTCCATTATTCTTTCCTGCCTAGAACTTTTTGCAGCCAAATTCTGTCTTTTAGTGTGTTAGTTATCTTATCCTTGACTCCTCTACAAATTTTGCAAGTACACTGCCTATTCTA